GAATAAACATGATTCTCTTAAAACGGAGTAAATAGAGGTTTCATTCTTAATTAAGTGGAAACACAAACAGTTAGATTGGTTTATATTGTTTTCGTGATAAATAAAATTAAAGCTCAGCTTGATTACACAATACGTACGTACACATATTACTTTACCAGTAAAAAGTTCGCTTACTGCTTAATGGACGCAGTATTAAATTATCATCTTGACTTTTCCGTTACAAAGAAGCATTAGGTAGAGCATTTGGTTTAATGAGAATTTTCTTTATATGTATAAAGCTATAAGCCTTACGAGATTATGTATCGTTCGTATATGATATATAGCCACCGTTCTGCCTATTTATGCCGTGAAGCAGTAATGCGTTCCGGTTCGAAGGGGGAGCAGGCGTTGTACTGTAAAAACTAAGACTTAAACTCAATGTCTCAATGTGGGTGGCGGTATTTACATTGAGGTACGCTGTGAGTTAGTTCACCTTTTTTTTAGTTCCTGGGCCGAACCTCCTACGAGGTCCCCGCGCCTAGGGGGTGCGTTGAGTATCTAGGACTTGACGATCTGCAAGGTGTTGGGAACAGACCGCGGGCCCAAGGAGTTTTAGGGCCCTACCGCACTAAACGACTCCCCTGCATTCTTACACCCGACGTCCGATCTCCATCCAGGGTCAGAACCCGGTCAGAGTAGGGGGGTTCCCGCGGTCAACACTACAACCAGACACGCTGCGCCACCCCGAGGACGCTCGACCGACTGGTCGTCGAGGCGATAGTCGACGACCAACGACACCGGTCCACATAACCCAAGCAATAAAAAGAAAAGTATCGAAATAAAGAACGGTTAGTGTTATTAGAGACTTCAATAACTTCTAATGGTGATTATACGACCATTTAACGTAATATTTCTTTTAATAAATTATCAAAAAAATGCTATTACAGTTTGGAGGTTGAGAAAAACATCAAAATTTGCACAAATCTGTGCCAGAGCTATTTTTGAAAAAGTAAAACCTACTTTATGCTTCTTAGAACTCTCGTATAGAATTTGAAATTTAAAAGGAAAGTTTTATGGAAACACGATATCGGTATTTCTCAAACAATTGGAACTTTCTGGAAACTTTTAACAAAGACTACTACAATAGGTTGTAGTTTCGTCAGAAAACCCATACAAACACCCATTTGAGATCAACTAGTTATCCTTGAACCTCAAGTGGGTGAACCAACGATAAATAAACCTTTGTCGTCATTGTTCTTGTTGAGTGTTTGATTGAAAATTGAGTAATATACTAACTAGAAGTGTTATCCCTGGACTAGATTGGTATTTTTATTTTATTAGAAGGTAGGTATGTTCAAGGTCCTCTTGATCTAAAGTAGTGTGGGCCATCTTTAAGGGTAATGTCAGCTTTACCCCTAATACTGGAGTGGGCAGCTTATTTCATGAAATGCATGGGAGCAAGAGCTAACTTTTCTCGGTTTGATGAGGTAAACGAAAATTGTGAAATCCCTTACCCTAGCTTCCTCTGCATATTTTTTAAGCATATTAGTTTATCAGTGACCACTGTGCGTTGATGTTGTATGGCTTGACCCATTCTAGCAGAGTATTTTATAACGCGCCCACCGTAATAGAACCCATTTAAATTGATAACTATTTCAGTAATATGATTGTATACCAGCTACTAATTATAAGAATCTTATTTTTGTATTCGATAAGAAAGTTGCGAACGAACGTCTATGCAATCACTTCTAATTCTGTCGGCACGTGTCAATTTGACGCTGTTTCGTAGTGTCATAAATATAAAATCACGTGAATGCTACAACATATTCTGCAGCAACCCTAAAAGGGGGATACCATAAAAGTGTTTCGTATAAAAATAATTGACACGGAATCCTTGAATAGGCGAGAAGTTGTTTCGGTGTATTTTAACTAAGAATATGTGGTTTTTAGTACAAACAAACGAATATAATGTTGACTTAACTAATGCCATAGATGGTTTCTGTCATAAGACCATCACGCATTCCTTAAGAGTGAGATTGCAATCATGTTCCTTGTACGCGATGGGTAGTCGAGATCACAGCCCAACGGTTGCTATGTTGACATCGGCGCCTGTATACATCATAATCTGAACTCACATTTGGAGACATGTCGTTGAAATTCTACACGGCGGCTGTACGATCTAGCCAACCAGAAGAGATGACTGCTACGCACTAGTGCCGGAAAAGACGTGATACCTACCAGTTAGAAGATTGTAACTTTAATGTTGCAAAGCTTAAGCCGCTAACTCAATTCAGGACAATGAATAGTCTCCTCTTTATAGAGAGCTATACACATCTTTTTTCCAACAATTTTGCGGCCTATCTGTTGTAAAACTGTATCTGTTGTATAAGCTAAATGTTACCTTACGTTGTTACGTACAATTGTATTGTATAACGGTTGTCCTATGCGTCGACACGGGAATGCATGTCATGGTTCGCGGCAGAATTGGGCTCGACTACGCCTTTATTATATTATCCAGCCACTTCATATTATTAGGAAATTTCCAATCGAGATAATAATAGAAGTGCGAATTATTTCGGATTAGCGTTTACAGCACAGTTGGAAAAAGTCTATATCGGAATTATCAGCGAATAAAACGTGACCTTCAATGAAAGGAACGTAAACCAATTCATCGAACATGGGACATACATACTCGTATATTCAAAGATTGGTATTTTTTAGTTAGTTCACACTGGCACACTCGATTCGCTTTAAAAGAAAAAGAATGTTAATGTCAGTCATCGATTGAGATTACGATATTACGAATGGTGTTTTGATATAAAAACTACATTTTGCCCTATAATCCCACATAAATATGTGTATGTTACTATACATCCCTAATAAGTAATGTTCAATAGAGGCATGTTCTATACATTTCTCGAATTTCTGTGCTTTACATATTATATTTTGTTTAAACAAAACATATAATACATAATATGATAGAAGGTTGACATGAATAATAACGACCATTATTCTGTTTAGGTTTGAACCTGAAGTCCTTAGCAAATGTGATGTTTGTCACAATGATCCGGAGACGTTTTGTGGGTCTCGTACATTTATAATAAACACCTGTTCCTTGTTTGACGAGATATATCAGTTTCATACTCGAAGGAATGATTCGTATATTTCAAAATTATGTATTAATTTAGCGGAACATATTAGACACGGTTGGGAATTGTAATCTGAAAATTCGATATTTTTCTGTTTTTTTTTATTGCTTAGATGGGTGGACGAGCTCACAGCCCACGTGGTGTTAAGTGGTTACTGGAGCCCATAGACATCCACAACGTAAATGCGCCACCCACCTTGAGATATAAGTTCTAAGGTCTCAAGTATAGTTACAACGGCTGTCCCACCCTTCAAACCGAAATGCATTACTGCTTCACGGCAGAAATAGGCAGGGTGGTGGTACCCACCCGCGCGGACTCACAAGAGGTCCTACCACCAGTAATTACGCAAATTATAATTTTGCGGGTTTCATTTTTATTACACGATGTTATTCCTTCACCGTGGAAGTCAATCGTGAAAATTTGTTGAGTACGTATTTCATTCTAAATCAGCACGCAGATGAAATAATGTTTAGACGCCTATTTGGTTTAGTCTGCTGTTATTTCTATGACATAATAAAATTAACATTGCTATGGATTTTTTATATATTCAAACCCTGTCGATAGAGCATTGTTCTTAAACATAATATACAATATTAATTAACTCGAATGTGAATAACCGATTTAATGATTATTCGGTGGAATAGATATTATTTATTTTTAAGTACTGAATACATACTTACTTCAACTTACCTGTTAAGTTGTAAGTCTATGACGAGATTGAAAGACAAAAGGCCGCGCCACTCGATGGGTTCTCGGTCTTAGTAAGAAGGATTGCGGGACAGAAAACTTAGTTCGAACCCTTTTTTATAAGATGTGTTTGGTTGGGTTAACCTCTCAACGACCTATTTCCGTCTTCATTTCGCAAAATAAGGGAGAATGATACCCTCGAGTTATCAAAGGTTCCCTTTATGGGTTATCGTTTGATGCTCCCAATGTTAAGTGACAACTGAATCAGTAGTTTCAATACGATATATTTTGGTGCAGTCGTAATTGAATTATGACTTAATTGAACAGTGAAAATCGATGCATTCGTCAGTAGACGAATTAATTGAACTAATTGTCACGGTTCGAAATATTGTATTCTGTATGTATTTATTGTGCGTGGAAATATTTCATCGGGAGCTTACCATTGTGCTACTTTAAGTACCAAGCTTATTTTACGAGATTACCACTTAATCTTATACCTTTAAACGAGCAATTCTTGTATATATATATAATCTGAATCTCGGAAACGGCTCCAATGATTTTCATAAAATTTAGTATACAGGGGATTTCGGTGGCGATAATTCGATCTAGCTAGAAAATGTTGTTTTATTCGTGTTTTCAATAATCAACTCTTCCCGACATCTATTGGCGAAAAATAATACAGTTTTTCTTAATTGAGGGCAACTAACCGCTTTAAAGACGCAACAAGATGGCGTCATCAAAAAAAAAAAAACCGAGCAGTGCTCGGTCATCATCTAGTATTTATTACTTCTGAGCCAGATCAAAAATGTTTCCAAAGAATGTTGCTTAGAGTCTAAATGTCTTTTCTCAGGAAGTCTCTGTTTTCAGACAAAGTAACCCACAATGGGATTGCAAGGAGCGACTGATGAAGGCCTGACAAAATGGAACATATTCTATTAAAACAATATTAAATTACTGCCGTTCCGGACAGGTAATAAGGCCGTTATAAGACATCGAGAATTGAATACGGCGAAGAAAAGGGCATTACCATTTATCACCCCTCGTAATATTAGCATAGAACGAGCAGTGAAATATTCAATTAGGCATTAAAGTCTCCGCGAAACAATGGTGCTGGATGAAATTAAGAGGCATCGTGACGTGTTGTTAATTTTATTAATACTTTTTTTTATAACGACCTGGATTTAAAGTACATTTTCGGAAATAAATAAATTCAGTACAACAGCTCTCTACAATATATACGCCGACATAAACTCCATTTGCATCTTTTAACTTGGTATATTACTTGTGCACGTATTTAATGCAGAGCGAGTGCACTGACTCGTCAAATGAATATTAGTGATGAAATTATTTTAAAACTGGTTGTAATTTAAAGTTTCAGAAAACCCGCTAAAAATGCAAATGAAGTTAAAGCAATTGAAATGCATCGAGTGTAATCTTATTATGTTTCAAATTTTAATATATTATTTTATATTCCACGTGAAACATATTTGTTATTAATTTTTACAATACCATAATATTTTACGCTTATTTTATTTAACAATTATTAAATCAGTACATATGCGATATACACGCCATATTCGTTAACAACAGCTTCACAAAATCTCACATATCTAAATGTATTTATTCACTGATCGGTCGCGAAACAAATAGCTTTATAATAATATAATAATACAATGGTTTACATATTTGTCCTATAGATATAAACTTTATACAATTTAAACACTAATTATTATCACGTTACATGCTGTCTGTATTTATGTAATTGTCTGTTAAAACGAATAGCAAGTATCATTCAACAGTGGACAAAATAATGCCAATCAAACATAATTACATAGTTTGATATAGGGGACTGTTATTATCGGTTAATTTCCCTATGCTATCTACAGAATAAAAAAAAAGTTTCGTTTTGTTTACTAAATTAACATCGATTATACTGGAGTATTGTGAAGTAGGAAGATCGTTATGATTGTCAGGAATGACGGTGTTGGTTTGAACGCATCATTGGACTGTGAAACGATTACCTTTCCGTCATTAGCGTACCATTTATTGGCGTGGTCTGGTACCCTATTCGTTTTAGTGCTGTCGTTGTCCTCGGCTTCCATATCGTCATAGCTGTCGGTGCCGTAGTCATCCTCGGTCGGTACCCGAACCTCAGGGTAATGGTACGAATGTCTATCATTCCCTGGTATTTCTATGGAATTGTTAATTAAATTTGAGTGGTTAGCTCTCAGATCAATGCTAATATTAAAACGGCCGTCTGGTGTAGTGGTAAGTGACATGGTCACTACACAAGGGGGTCGCGGGTTCGAATCCCGCCAAGGGAAGATATTTGTATGATAAATATAAATGTCTTTCCAGGGTTATGGGTGTATATTAAATATATGTATGTGTATAATAAAAATATTATATTTATTTCCGTTATCTGGTACTTGTAACACAAGTTCTNTGGTGTAGTGGTAAGTGACATGGTCACTACACAAGGGGGTCGCGGGTTCGAATCCCGCCAAGGGAAGATATTTGTATGATAAATATAAATGTCTTTCCAGGGTTATGGGTGTATATTAAATATATGTATGTGTATAATAAAAATATTATATTTATTTCCGTTATCTGGTACTTGTAACACAAGTTCTTTACGAACTTAGCACAGGACTAGTTAACGTGGCGTGATTGTTAGTAAATATTTATAAAAATATATATATATATATATATATTAAGTTAGTATTCTTTAGTCTTTAGCTGAATAGCAATCAGGAGATTCATGTTTTGAAACAATAGATTTTTAATTTTAATACTTATTTTCGCGGTAAAAACAGGTTGTCGTAATAATTTATAACAGAGAGGAGTGATTTATTATGAAGATGCATAGCCGACCATTAGCACACCGATAGCTCATCTAATAAAACTTTTACGGAAAGGAAAAAAAGCCTCTTGTAAATATAATGAGATTGTTTGCGTGCAGAAACTTCGTAATTTTCTTAACACATATACATGAAAAAATATGACAAAATCTCTCTCACCATATAACCTTATTTTGCTCTCGACATCGCCGAGCGAGTTTTTCGCGACACAAATGTAGCTTCCCAAGTCTTCGCGTCGTATATTTTTTATCGTCATTCTCATTTCGGCTTCGAACATGGACTTCTGACGTACAGACATCTCGTGGTGTTCAGACGGTATTATCAGCTCACCTGCGGAACAATTTATTACTCGAAACACTCGCTTCGAATTCAATATTAGAATTTCATCTTTCCGCCTTAAAGTTTTATGAAAAATGTAAAAACTTAGGGCAGATGTATAAGAGTTTTACGGGCGTTATGTTTTTTGGTTCTCATTGTTGATTGTACACGATGGTGTTAATTACTATTAGCTTTGTACTAAATTAATAAATTCATTAAAAATAAAGGTATTCTTTTTTTTTTATTGCTTAGATTTGTGGACGAGCTCACAGCCCACCTGGTGTTAAGTGGTTACTGGAGCCCATAGACATCTACAACGTAAATGCGCCACACACCTCGAGATATAAGTTCTAAGGTCTCAGTATAGTTACAACGGCTGCCCCACCCTTCAAACCGAAACGCATTACTGCTTCACGGCAGAAACAGGAGGGGCGGTGGTGGTACCTACCCGTGCGGACTCACAAGAGGTCCTACCACCAGTAAAACAGGAGGGGCGGTCATGTCTGGGATGGGCGTCATATTAATTTATATATACGTATTGAGAAATCAATTTCAAATATTAAACGTGTATTTTATTCGATTTTCACGAGTCGTAGACATAATTAAAATTACTTTTACGGGTTATTCTTGAATTTTCTTAAAATAATATATTATTTCTGACGTTTCAAATACTTTTCAGTTTTCGTAGTCACTGACGATCAAAATGTTCTTTACTGTGATTTGAATATTGTTCTGACTACCGTCTATTTTTCCTAAATAAAAATGTTACTAGAATTTTACGTTTGTTTTCAATAAGCTGATCGGAACCGGAATATATTAAACCGCAAAAGTAGTTTTTTTTTAGAAAGAAGAAGAAGATTTTGAGCCCGTAAGGGTAAGTACTATCTATCACTCTGCTTATTTCTGCCAGTAGTTGGTACTACTAGGACTAAACAATTGAGACTTAGACCTCATGTCTCAAAGTGAGTGGTTACCATCCAAGCAATAAAAAGGATGAGACTTTTTGGCTCTCAAAATCATGGCTCTCAAAATCAGTCTTCCTAAATTTTTCCTGAATTTTGCCACGTACAAAACGATTTTATTACTAAGTGGCACTCAAAAGTATATTCCTGGAACTTACCGGGATCTTTGACCCAGTAATTGATTGACTTCGGGGAGGACTCGACGTAGCATTCAAGCGTGACGTCAGTACCGAGCGGCGCACCGACCAGCTGATTTGGTACTTGTATAACAGGATGAACTGAGAAATCGTAAATTACTGATTCGGTAAATTTATAGTTTACCGGATGTGCTTATTTAAATATAACGACCGTAGAATCATTCGAATTATTAAGAAACAACAACCTTTACGGAATAATTGGTACGGTTAGTAAACAAGATTTATAAATAAGAATTGTATTTTTTTATTGCCCCTGTAGGCAGACGAGCATACGGCCCACCTGATGGTGAGTGGTTACCGTCGCCCATGGATTAAAGCAATGCCAGGGGCAGAGCCAAGCCGCTGTCTTATTTAAACTGTTTTTTTTTAAAAGTCAGTTATTTACAAATCATTACTAGTTTCTTTTAGCATCACGAAAATAATGTAAATAAAATCATTTCTTTGTTTTGTGTGAAGCCTTGATACAGTCCAAATTCAAAAGAAAAGAACATATTTGTTATTAATGGCAGGTTAAAGTTATTTATACAAGTTTTCTTAGAATTCGTAGTTTTAAATTGGTAAATAAACTTTTTTGGCAAATTATGCTTACTTTCGTTTTTATTTTCTTAAATTTAGTTAAACGTAAATACGGTGTTTGCATATTATTATATGTAAAGTAAAAACATTGTTTTGAGCATCGAGATATTGTGTACTTAATCTCGATGGTTTTGAGTTTTGTTTTCAAATTTAAATAAGAGTGACTAATCGGATAATTTTAATAAAACCCAAAAATATTATTTGGAAGGCACACGAATAAATTATTCAATTTACCTATACACAAAATACAGCATTACACTATGTGTTCGATTGAAATAAAAGCAATGAAAACTTAACACTATTGTCTTAAATTTCAAGAAACATTCGACGGATTTTTTTATTCGTTTTACAAGCTCAACTATAATGCCTTTATATATTATAATAATATTCCTAAAGTATAAGGACCGGACGTAAAATGTTTGAGGATATGTGATAGACTTACAATGTACACTGACGTGGATCCTCTTACTGACTGTGGGCGGCACTCCATTACCCGCTATACATAAATACGTGCCCATTTCAGAGCGTGATATCTTCGTCAGCTTCAGCACTTCGCCTTGATACGTCAGTACTGCAAATAAATATTCGAAACTATTTTCCTTGTATTCCAACTGTTTGTATAGTATTCTTTTATTTCGGTAAATAGACAGACAAGTTCATAGGTGACCTGGGACTGGGTGGTTAGCTGACACTGTCTGAACCCGTTTGAAGTCGTCGTGGCCTAAAGGATAAGACGCCCGGTGCATTCGTATGTAGCGATGCACCGGTGTTCGAATCTCACCGGCAGGTACCAATTTTTACAAGGAAATACTTACTTAATAAATGTTCACGATCAAACCCGCAAAAATTATAATTTGCGTAATTTGCGTAATTATATTTATAATTAAATTATAATTTGCGTAATTATAATTTTATCCTACCGGTGATAGGACGTCTTGCGAATCCGCACGGGTAGGTACCACCACCCTGCTTATTTCTGCCGTGAAGCAGTAATGCATTTCAGTTTAAAGGGTGGGGCAGCTGTTGTAACTATACTGAGACCTCAGAACTTATATCTCAAGGTGGGTGGCGCATTTACGCTGTAGATGTCTATGGGCTCCGATAACCACTTAACATCAGGTGGGCCGTGAGCTCGTCCACCCATCCGGGCGTAGCTGGAGTATCTTAGACTCTTAGGCTACCAGCGAATAGGTAGAAAAATAAAGAAATATTGCTTTGCTGTAGAAACAGGCACAATAGTGATATCTACCCACCCGTGCTTACAATACCCATTACCAAACAGATTATTAAAATATAAATTGATATTAACAATTATTCTTGGGCGTGATCCACTTTTGCTTACTAAAAAGTAATAGGGTAGCATCAAAGTATGAAAACTGCAAGTCTAGTTAACCTTGATCTGAAAGAATTATTCCATGAAACATACAGTCACATTGAGAGTTCATTACTTGCTGAACAGCACTTAAATTTCTTGCGTCAAACAAGAAATTGAAATATAATAAAATTATTTTAATAGGTTTCATTAATTATTTGTGGTGGGTAAGCGCTACCCACACAACTTAAGGTGGGAGTTCCCAATGTGGAATTTGCTATTCAGTATAAAATCAGTAAGCAAATACACAAAGATTTTACTGAGTGGCATCAATTAATTTATTTTTAAATTTTAATTTTCCACCAACGCTACGTTTGGTTGAATTCTTCCATTCTTTTCTATATCTGAGAAAGGTTTCTATTTAATTTTGTGTATTCATTATTATATATTTCATTTCGTCTGTTAGATTATTAAATTTTTTGGTATACACGACTGCGAAAAAAGGAGTGTAATGTTTTAAGGGTATGTATGCGCTTGTGCAAAATATGTATTGTATTCTTTATTCCATCGTACATTTTAAATGCCCTAACAGATGGGTGTATGGGGTATTGTTAGAGTTCTTGCATCATTCAAAGTGACAAAGGCTATGTTATTGTTGGTTGTTAATTAAATTTTTAGATAAACTGTTGTTAGTTTATAAGTTATAAACTAAATTTTTCAGTCACTCCTTTAAAAATTGTTTTCGTAGTAGGGCTGGACTGGGCCCTTTATATACCCCATGCCCTGAATTACTAATGTCAATGTATGTACGTAAGTTGTGAGCTTATCATGTAAGCTATAGGATTTCGAAAATGAATTCAAAGTGAACTAAACACGAAAGAGACACTAAAGAGCTGTAACGGATTTAAATGACATTTATGCATTAATTACGTTTCGGGATTCCTAATGGAGATGTCAAATTACATACCCGTTAATGGTTATGACAAATGATTCCATAGTGTGAGCATCACATGTGTATATCTATTAAGTAAAAAAACGGAGGATTGAAGATTTTTAAAATAGCCAGAAATATAATAAATACGATATATTTATTTGAGAAAAATAAGACAATGTCTATCTGTTGATAGTTGGCGGCAACATATAGACCTAATTAAATCTTTTTTTTGTTTTAGCATTGATAGTAGCTGATTGAATAAAAGGTGATCTTATCGCAAGAGTAGGTACTGATATTATGTAAGTTACTGTAAATAATAGCTATGAAGTTGTCGTTTTATGATAGTGGCCATTTGACACGTAATTTGTCTATATCTGGTAATAAATTATATTGTCAAAAGAATTTTATTTTTAATATACATAATTATATTTTAAAATTCAGTCATTTCTTTATTGATTAGTGTTTTGTTTTCACTACATTTGTATCTTTTTAAACAATATGGACCCTATAAAAATACGTGTAATTATGAAATACGAGCTCCATCGCGGTAGCTACGCCGCTTAAACGGCTCACAAAATTAATTATGTGTACGGATACTATGAAAGAACGCATCACTCATTATTGATTTGAATAGCTTCTCACATGGAAATTTTAATTTAAAAATGAACCCTGTTGTCTCACGAAACCTAAAATATTCAACGACGAATTAAAGGCGATAGTGAAAGCTGATGCTCCGGCTACCGCTTAGTTAGCAATAGCTTCTAAAGTTAGCACCAAAACAATAATGGTCCATTTACGTCAAATTAGCAAGGTAACGAACTTGATAAGTGGACGTCTCACGTATAAAGCGATCGCCAGCCCGACGAACGCATGATAAGCCTCACGGTGCTTTACAGACACAGAAACGAAGGGATTTTGAATCGTATTGTCAATTGCGATAGAAAATGGATCCTTTTTGATAATCGTAAATGATCATCACGTTGGGTAGACCCTGGTTCGGAACTTAGTTCTGCAATTAGGCAATGCCCCAAGTGAAAACTTACCTCTCAAAGAACATGGTCACTGTTTGGTGGTCTAGTGCCGGTATAATTAATCACATACCCTTACCAAAATGTCGCTAAAATTACTACAGATGTATACTGTGGAACACTGGACGCAATGATGTAGCGGAGAGGAGTACTAGAGTTTGCGATTGCTCGTCCTCAATACTCCTACACGACAGCGCTATACCTCATACGGCACAATAGACGGTCTCTTAGCTACAAGACCTAGGGTTGGATATTTTGCATGACACACCGTACTCGCCACACATTTTTTCTACTTCTACTTTCAAAGTTTGTACTGCTTCTTGGCAGCAAAAAACTTCAGTACCGAGAGACAGTACAAAATTAAGAGTATGTTGGCTCCCGTTCACCTCTTCTTTTTCTCTTCTCTTCTGTTTCTGTTTTGACAGATTGAAATAAAATGGATTTAAAAAAAAAACTTTAACTTTCTCTACCTATATTAACCGGCAATTCCATAGGCAAATGTAACTAACTATACTTGAGACTTTAGAACTTATATCTCAAGGTGGGTGGCGCATTTACGTTGTGGATGTCTATGGGCTCCAGTAACTACTTAATACCAGGTGGGCTGTGATCTCGTCCACCCACCTAAGCATTAAAAAAATACCTGATAATTTAAATTGATGCGTAAACACGTTCATAGCCTACTTGGCGTTAAAAGATTAACGAAGTGTATAGACGTGCAACAAAATTTATGCCGTCTTGAGATATACGATAAGAGTCCCAGTTGTATAGCAGTTAAACCAAACGAATTGGTTTCTCATTCCGGCAGGATTGATTTCTTCGCGACAGGAATAGGTATGATAGTTGTACCTAACCTTAGAAACTCAAAATACGGGCTGCAATTCATGCTTCGGCAAATTTATAAGCTTTGGGGGTTTCATTTACAATCTAATCTAAAAGCCATTCATGAATGTATTTTAAGTGTAGTTTAATAAGAAAAATAGTACCCGCTTGCAAGGCTTAAGCTGAAGCGCGTACACTCGTTATGAATTTCCCGGGAATATTTGTCTAGGACACGAAGACTTTTATTAAATTGTATAATTAATCGTAGCCAGTAAACAAAAAAACACGGTGTAGCAAGCATGTTACTCAACATCTTGTATCAATCATTAATCTCACTGCTTTTAGTCTTGATTGAATATTCATAGAAATAGTGATAAAATCGTTTGAAAAGGCGTTTTAAATCAAACAGTTCGTTTTTATTTTTAAAATTAATCCAGCACGAATAACGTAAAATATTTTCAATAAGCAATTAAAAGGTTTCAACATTCCGTGTAATAAGTCGTTGGGAGTCTATTCAGTGTGGAACTGTACTAATTACGACAAACTTTAAACAATACTGGACGCGAAACTCATCCCGAGGATAGTCTCTGCGCGGTTCATTGTGCCACCACAAATGCGGTCACACCGACTCCCGTATTATACATATTCAGAATAACAATGCCCCGTACTTGCGTTATTCAAATAAATAAGACATTTTTTCGCCTTCGTTTTTAATTAGTTCTGGAGTTTTATCTTCGTGCGCTGAAAAAATTCGGATTCATTCGTTATGTAAGTAGGTGGGTGGCAGTTGAACTCGTTCTCTTAATTTATCATTATTTTCTTTTTTTTAATAAGCGCTTTTTAAATTCCAGCTTGTGTATCTTATGTTATGTTTATGTACTTTAGGGGGTTCATAATTTGTTTTTGGAACGAAGTTCCTTATGGGACGTAGGGGAACCCTAACCGGGAAAAACCGTCCGTAACGTAAGATTTTTATTAGTAATGCACACAGTGTACGACTTAACTTTGTAATAACGTATAAAAAATAAAATATTTTTTTCTCATTCATTGACCACGATCTCAGAGCGTTCGCTTGCGCAATACACGGACACTTATGCAAACAACCGTGAATGAAGTGTACCACAATAAGTTCGCACGTTACCAAATGACCGTGAGTTGTTGCGAAACCTCGAATAGAACTTAAAATTCTTTTTTTTTCTAATAAGGAACTTCGTTCCTATCCGGTGTCCCACGACACCACACATCTTTTTTTTGAATAACCTCTTTGGTATAGTGAATGGAATTAAAGAATATAGTGATTTAAATGGTATTTAGACGTATGGGGTATTCTTTGCTTTTAATATGGAGATTGCTAATTGAGATTTTTGTTGAAGTAAATTGTTTGATAAAGGTTAGAGTATTCGAAAATTGTGAAAAGTTTTGAATATTTTTGTTGATACAGATCATAAATATATTAATTGAGATATGGTGTAACATCTGTTACAAATTGTTAGAATTCACCTACAGTAAAATGTCAAATTATAATTGGCTTAGAATTTGCTTGAGACCTCTTCCTAACTACGGAACTCTGCTACCACCCCTCCTGGCTGAGTCTTTGCTCGCCCACATGTCCTGGTGAAACTGGAAAGGCCTCCGGGCCACCAGTAATCTTTCAATCATAAAAAAAAGGAACTCTGCTATATTATTTAAACCTTAATGATTTGTGAGATCTGTGCTTTTAATTTAAAATTAAAACACAATAAGTATCGTTCTGCTCCGAATAGATTTGATGAAATATGTTGGTGAAGTAATGTTATTGTCGTATTTTGATTCCAAATAACATATTCCATATACATCGATACATCTTCTGTAGATCACAAGCAGTCAATCACTTGTCGAAGTAGCGTGTCCGAATGTTGATTTTACTGCCGTGTTATTTGGTCGTTCGGGTGGAGTCCTATTGCCTTTCTACGGCGGTAATTTGTGAAACAATACCCCAGTAGCGAAGCTCTAATAATAAACGAAATTAAACTACCCGAGATTTTAGGTCTTTCGATAAAATCTGTCTTAAATTTGTGTCCGCCTGTGTGTGTCTAAAGCGTACGTTTTGCTTTTTTAATTATTATAACACAGTAATATCTTAGTTCCGAAGAGCAAGGAGTCAGAAATTTTGTGAAAAGAAGATAAGATTTTCAACTTAGGTAAATTCAATTTCTATTTTTATTATAAATCAGGCCATAAAGTTTAATAATCATTATAGTCGCGGACAAAAAGAGCAGTATTTTCATTACACTACGTGTCATGTACGATTCATTAATTTAAGTATGATTCTAAATACATTTTTTATTATTGTTTTGCATTATATTGCATTTGTAGGCAGACGAGCATACGGCCCACCTGATGGTAAGTGGTCACCGTCGCTCATGGACTTCAGCAATGCCAGGGGAGAGCCAAGCCGCTGCCTACCATTAAGTACTCTCCGCAAGCCACGTTTGAAGAAGGACATGTCATAGCGCTCGGAAAACACCGTGGAGGGGAGCTCATTCCAAAGCTGGACAGTACGTGACAAAAAAGATCTTTGGAAACGCACTGTCATTGAGCGCAACGGTTCTAGATAATATGGATGAACTCTGCTCCGATGACCCGCACCTCCCGAGGTGCGATGATAAAAAAGAGATGAGGGGATCATCTCGAATAATTAATTCTTCAAAGCATTCCCCATGGAACATGCGGTATAAAACACAGAACCGAAGTCCCTCCGTAGACCCAGAGGTTCCAAGCGATCCGTGAGAGCGGGACGGACTATCAACCATCCGAACAGCCTGTTTCTGTATGGAGTCAAATGGAAGTAGCTGGTATTTGGGTGCCCCGGCCCAGAGGTGAGAGCAGTACTCCACGCGAGACGCGTACTGCACGGGGAATGATGATCAATTGAAAGTACGGACCAAAAAAGGAGTATTGATTGCCGATACGCTAATCAGCATATTGCCTATTTCTGTTGTGAAGCTTTCATGAATTTGCCGTGTATCTGGACAACTGCTATGCAAAATTAACATTCGTATTTCAGGAAAGAGACACACGAATAACTTTGAATATATTTATTGATTTATTATATTTATAGTATCATATTTGTTTTTTTTACTTAAACATTTTTAGGGATTATTAACATTATAATAAATGCAATTATATGTTTTCAAACATAACATTTAAATAGATACAACAAGTTTTATCGGCTTTTTAAATAATATTAACCTAATAATAGTATATTATTTTTACGAACAGATTGTAATGAAAACAGAAGCAACATTAATGTAATTGAGCAACGTCAAAGTTGACACGTGAACCCTTGTTACTGAGATCATATCATATCTATATCTATCATTGGCATATTTAGGACCGGCTAAATATTTGAAATGACGTTTTACTGGGAATCGGGGGGACAGCTTCCGAAGATATATATTCCTATTGTTTATATGAACGTAACAAAATTAACTTACAGAATACAAACGTTTTTCTTTCTCTTTTATTTCATATACATAATAATATAAGTATGTTTGTAACATAATTTTTGAAAATCATTTTAATCGACTCAATAGGTCTGATTAATTAAAATAGAAGATGTGTGGTGTCGTGGGACACCGGATAGGAACGAAGTTCCTTATTATAAAAATATTAATTTTTAGTTCTATTCGAGGTATAAAGAAAATAAAACTGGAGGTTTCGCAACAACCGACGGTCATTCGGTAACGTGCGAACTTATTGTGGTACACTTCATTAACAGTTGTTTGCATAAGAGTAAGTGTATTGCGCAAACGAACGCTCTGAGGTCGTGGTCAATGAATGATAAAAAAATATGTTCTTTTTTGTACGTTATTGCAAAGTTAGTCGTACACTATGTGCATTACTAATAAAAATCTTACGTTACGGACGTTTTTTCCCGGTTAGGGTACCCCTCCGCATCGTCCCATAAGGAACTTCGTTCCAAAAATTGCACAAGCATCAATGCCCTATTACAATTTAATATAGTAAAAATAAAATTGTATAATTTCGCTCTAATTAATGTAGGTTTGGTAAGAATGGATCCTATGAAAAGAGTGTGAAACAAAGTGTTAAGATGTGAGTGAGAGAAAACGGAAAGAAAGGGAGAAGATAATGACAGGCAGAATGACAGAGAAAGGGAAGATGGCGAAGACGGTTAAAAAATGATCAAAGCGTAATAAAAGTGTTAATTAATTTTTAATTATTATTATAACAGAAGATTTTGGAACAGTGTAACTTTTATTTTAGCGTTGCGATCCCTATTCTATATTAATATCCTAACCAGTATCAATAGGATAAAAATATTAAAATAATTGTTAGTTTGGATAGCTATTCAAGCCTGTGTTTTGGAAACTACATATTTTCTGCTGCAGTATCCGAGTATCGTCAAATCGTTCTGAGTTCATCTGATCATCAACTTAGTGCAGCGTACTTTAAAAAACTACCTAGCCGCTATTCAAAATAAGCTTTGTATCCGCTCACTATCCTTAATGTAAGGTTGAGAATCGTGTATCATAAAATTTCATATTGCAATGACTGATTTCATTTGAATATCAGCATACTTTACGGCCTTAATATATTTTGAGTGTTTCTAAATCTTTTTATCAATGGATTAATATTTACTGATTATTGAACTATAAACAGTTTAAAAATGAAATTTGTTTCTATTTTGTCTACAATAGAATGCTTAACTGAATTATATTTATTGAATACTAGCTGACCCGGCAGACTTCGTAGTGTCTCAATCGATAAATAAAAGGCCTAAACTTTTGTTTAAAATAAACTTAAAAAGGAAAAACAAAATTGTTTGTTTTTATATAATTTCGAGCATTTTCATATTTTTTCACCTTTTAAACCTTCTCTGGTCTTTCACGAATAATTCAAGACCAAAATTAGCCAAATCGGTCCAGCCGTTCTCGAGTTTTAGCGAGACTAACGAACAGCAATTCATTTTTATATATATATATAGATTCACCGAAACTGTATCTATGATTGTTATTCTCCATTTTCTAGTATTTATTGAGTTGGCTATGTTATTTCGTCGTCCCCTTGGCTTTTTATATTTTACTAGTTACATACGGTCGAAGTCCCAAGTGATGGATGGATAGATAAATGGAAATACAGACTATCAGACAAATGACAGAAATCGATCGAGCACCAGTTCAAACGGAATATGTTTTTTTATTTGTATTTCTGGAAGTGTTCAATATATTAAATTTACCTTTAGTTTTTGCTCCAGTCTGGTCCCGCACAACGATTTCCTGTCCGTCCTCTCTTTTCCACATCACCCGTGGAGGCGGAACACCTCGTGCTTTGCAGGACACCCTTGCAGTACCTCCCTCGGGCACCATGGTGTCCCCTGACGTTTCTTCAGGTATAAAGTCAGGAGGAATTACTACGTCTAGGAAGCCCATCTACAAGAAATAATTGAATTATGTCTAGTTATTGCTTTAACTTTTATGTCAGATCATTCAGTACATGTGTATATAGTCCATTTTAAAAGATTATTTTATATCAATGACAAAAAAAATTAATTTGAAATCACATTGATGACACAGGTAATCTTTTAAAACAATAGTTGGTTTGTTCTGGTTGTATTGTAACCCCCTTACCTCATCTGGATTCTGACCACGGAGGGGATCGAACGCTTTGGCGAAGAGCGCAGGGGAGTTGTTGGTTCTGGTTTTATTTACATCTTATCTTGTAACCAAGTTTTCAACAAATTCTTGTTTGATGTAGAAGTACAGTAAATACACTTTAATATTATTATATTACGAACGGGCCACTGTTTCGCTTTTGCTGGCATTAAATAACTAAAATTTTCCTTTTAAGAATATCTTCAAGACGCACGTGACGCAAATTGAAAAGCGACATAAAGGCGGAAAGCTATGGGGCTTGTATGTGGGCAGTAAGTATTTAATATGAGCAAGGTTCATGAACTCGACTTACTTAAACTTCTGTCAAATAAGAAAAATATTTTAACGTTATTCCGTTACCTTTTCATACAATCATAATTTAATTAACACGAAATAGGCTCGGATAGTCGAAAAAAAACTCAACCATTAAACAATTAATTGTATTGGTATTGCAACATCACTCGAATTCGGCGATAAATTCCGCTTGTGGTAACACATCGTATGTTACAATCATTAATTGATTGTTACCATATCACCGAATTAACATGCCATTTTCGTTGAGATACACATTCGAAGCATCGAAATTGTGTACGTAATTCACTTCAAATAGTTTTTATAAGATCAATAGGAACTCGTTTATCCTAAATACCAAGATTAGATTCAGAACTACACCGCCATTTTTGTGGACAGGAGAATGGATGAGTTGGTCAATAGTAGCTGCAGAATATTAACAATAAACAGTGATCGTATTATTTTTGGAATTACTCTTATGAAAATTATTATAATTTCTCGTGATGATTTTAGCTGAAGTTAAATAGTTATAATAGTTTTACAGACATATAAAGTCTCACTGCGTAATAGGAAATCGGAATATGTTTTATTATTTTATTTTTCAATATTTTGTTAGAGTTTTGGTAATAGTATCGTGTTAGACCCGAATAGGACGGCATTCCTACTGTGGAGATGATGAAAAGATATTGTAGTGTTGCTCAGATTCAGCGAGATAAATCTGTATTCTTTTTACAACAACTACTTACAAAATCTGTTTCATAGCGAGAAGACAATTAGCATACAAGATCCCCTATTTAGACTCAAAAATAGATAAACGATAAACTAAAATCATTATAATAATATGCGTGGACAGTTTAACTTACTTGACTTTTCATGGGGTCCGTATTAATCTGGCACATGTACTGTCCCCGATCTTCTTCTTGGACGTTTTTAATGTGGAGATACCAAGTCGAGTGGTCACTGTGTGACACGGAGATTCGAGGATTGTGTGTGATCACGTGCTCGTGTATGGCTTGGATTGCTTTTGTATCCGCTTTTACCCACCCCACCTATAGCACAAAAAGATAAGTTATAGGTTTATTATTTACAGAATTTAGCACACCCTGTATATGTAGGTCCATGATAGTATAATATAAGACGTGTACCGTTTTAGACATTTTTTGATAGTGTTGATAATTCCAGCCACAATATCTTTAGTGATCTTGTGAACAAATTTTTTCAATTGTGTTTTTATATTGCAGGCAATATATTTTAAGAATCAAAATCAACTGATGCGTGGGTTAAGCATTCTCGAGGAGACGCGGGGGTGGAATTGCTATCGGCTACTTTCATATTGTATTATATGTTCACAAAATATAAAATCTAGAAAAGTCTCGGTAACGATCTCTTTAGTTAGAGAATACCGAGAATCGCTCGGTTTGAAAGTCAAGATACTTGCTATTTTTTATTAATTCTTTTAAACGTAATTAGTGCTGTACTAAGCTTTGGATTAAAAAAATTTTATCTCAATTTTGTAAGAGTGTCAGTTTTGTAAGACTGAAGTATTTGCGCGAAGTCAAAACTTGGGCTTGGAAGAATATTACCGTATATTAACGTACCCGAAAATTACCAAGGTTGACTACAATGCACTCGAAGGTTGCATCGCGTCCTAATGGCACCGTTAGGTTGGTGATCGGCTGCCCAAACTCTGGAAACTCCACACCGCCTGAATAAAAATAAGACGTGAGTTATTTGTACGTTCAAGATAATTTAACAATTGCTTGTTGTAATTTGGTGGTAGGACCTCTTGTGAGTCCGCGCGGGTAGGTACCACCGCCCTGCTTATTTCTGCCGTGAAGCAGTAATGCGTTTCGGTTGGAAGGGTGGGGCAGCCGTTGTAACTATAATTTGAGACCTTAGAAGAAGACCTTAGAAGGTGGGTGGCACATTTACGTTGTAGATGTCTATGGACTCCAGTAACCACTTAACACCAGGTGAGCTGTGAGCTCCTCTACCCATCTAAGCTATTAAAAAACATTAAAAAAATTTGGTTAAGGATTGACGAAGTTTGGTTATGGGATCTTATCTGATAGTAGTCCAATAGTCTATCCTTCAGACTTTAATGAAATAATCTAATGATAGGCACTTATTTTACGGACAGGGACTTATTTTAGCTACTTCTATAACTTCTCCAGCATCGGTATAGCTTATTTCGCTTCTTTGTTTTTCCCATCAATCATTTATATTACTACAGTAAAAAATTACTTTGTATCCTACTTAGAATAATACTCGTAGTTATCAAAACTAAAAATTTCAGTTATCAGATTGGATTTTATCTGTCTATAAAAAAAATGCTTGTTTTGATGTTGTTTTTCTAAGCCTCTCATCCGATTGTGATCAAACGAGCTTGGTAGAGCTATTGTTGGTATTCCAGGAAAGGTTCTAGTCACAATAACACCATCCTACGACAAGAGGCACGCGAGTAGATCCAAGAAATCAATGTTTTTCATATTATTTTTTTAGCATAAAAAAATTATAGAAATCATTTTCGAAGAGGATCTCGTATCTACCTACACATGGTATATGACGGAGGAGAAACGAATTCTCGACGAAATGTCTTTAAAAAGTGTGACGTCAGCATTGTTGACGTCACGGTTATTAAGTTCTCGATGATGACTCATGTTTGGGCTTCCAAAACAAAACTTCACGAGAACTGCGTATATTGCACGAGAAGCATAACAACGTTACAGAGAGATCCGTACTGTACTACGGCTCGGACACGAATGAATAAACGCTAGACAGCACGGCCGTATTTATAGGACTTCGTACACGTCAGCGTGTTTACAAGTATTAAACACGTGAGCGTGTTTACAAGATTTTAAAGTATTGAAATTACAATAAAAGGGACTGTTTAACATCAATTTCTTATCACAGAGTAATTAGTTGATGATCAGTAGGTAAATAGTCATATTTGCGCCGACATATATAATATAATTAATTATAATTTGTAAAGATGAAAGTCTGGATAATTCATCTTTTATACCTATAATTTTTAGAGTTAATCTGAAGCAACGGAGACCTCGTTGTGGGGCCTACGGGCTTTATGAACTTTTTTATTCCTTACATATCAAGAAGAAAACATCTTCTTTCGTTCTTTGTTTCCCTACGTCCAAAGAGGAATGATTCGGTTGGATCGAAGAAATGCTCTGTTATGTTATTTTATACCATTGTTATTGTCTCCTAGTGATATTTAGATCTGTTAAACTGGGTTACAAAGTATTTGGTATATTTCAACTAGAAACGTGCACGCGAAGTCTCACAGCGGTACTCAGTTCCGGTGCCATTAGTTTGTGAGCTATACTCGAGGTTTATCACGGATGCAGCCGCAAAGTTCCCTTCCGCGATACCGTCGCCAGTTGCACCTTGTTCCGAAGACCTTGCAACAAAGTGTCAACTAACCACCTCAACTTATTCTAGTTTGACTTCAGAAATGTGGACAAACGTAAATAACTTTGGTAGCGATTCTAACTAGATCAGATCAGATGCGGTCTAGTTCCATGTTTTAATGGTTATTGGGGCGATATATTCACGAGTCCTTTTACTTTGTATCATTATAATTGGTTGGGAAAAAAGTAATTTCGCATTATAGTATGTATGAGCTTGTAATAAAATCTCTTTGGCTATACTATTTGTGTCTGGCTGGTTTTGTTATCATTAAATGTTTAAATTTTAAAGAAGATAATTCCAAATTCAAATTAGCAAAATGTGTGATTTTTATTTATTTTTCGTACTGTCAATATGAGTGAATCTAATGAAGAAATTCGATACATTTCAAAATTTTACTACAAAAAAGGTAAAAATGCAACGAAATCCCCAAAAAAAAATTTGCGATATTTATGGACCTGGTGCAGAGTCTGTGAGAGTAGCACAAATTTCTTGTTCCATGTTCTAATGGTTATGAGGGCGATATATTCACGAGTGCATTAACTTTGTATATTTTATTTTCGTAGTAAACGGATAGAAGAGCTCGTGAATGTTAAGACTTTTTTGCCCGTCCACCTTAACGCCTGCGTTCGGAATCTGATTATTGTTACGGATTAATGTTGATGTTAGAACATGTATGATCGCTTCAGGACAGGAGGATAGCTATATTTACTCGCAATCACAATGCCCTACACTTAGTAATCGGCCAAATGAATTTTTTTTATTGAGCTTTGTGGGCCTGGCATATCCATATTACTCGATAGGAGTACGGGTCACCCATCAGGCCATAGTAGTTTCAGATTCCAAATCGACACTGAACAAATTAATTTATTAGTAGTAAAACTAGTTAATCAGTTAAGCAAGGAACCTCTGAATACATTCGGTTTGAGTTTGTATGAAAATCAATTCCAGATTTTCGTTTTGTTTGCCCAGCCCGCTATTTGTACAGGCTTCTGCTTAGCCCTTTCATTTAATTTTAATGCCTCATCGCCTTTGTTGACTCAAAATGGAGTACATTTTTTTGTGGGTCTTAATTATAAACCAAGATCAAAGATGACAAAATTGAATCGTTTAATTTCTTCCAACGAAGTATGAAGGCCCTTTGAAGTATATTTCGCCTTGTTTCGAATACGTCGTGAATGTAACGTGCCGAACGGTCTCGTGGAGGGCTGTAAAAACTGCCATTTTGCAACGACAGCTTCCACAATATCGTCACAGACTGGGACGCAGTAAAATGTTTACAAAATATCCTGCTTTTGTTGCGGGCGCCACTACGAGTGCTGGATATTGCTTTTGTATTACGGTTTAAGGTTAGCCGTCCGTCCGGTTTCTTGCACTCGCTTCGTTATCGCATACAGCTTAAGGAGATTTATATCTTGAAGCTTCCTGTTTTATTTATATAATAAAAATGAAATTTTTGTTGTGTTATGACTTTCCCGAATCAGAGTAGGTGGTGCTAAATTTTATTTTTATAAATACTAACTACATATATACATTTCAACTCAATCACTGTTTAATTTAATAGATACGTTGGTTGTAGTATAACTAGTGGTAGGACCACTTGCGAGTCCGCATGGGTAGGTACCACCACCCTGCCTATTTCTGCCGTGAAGCAGTAATGTGTTTCGGTTTGAAGGGTAAGGCAGCCGTTATAACTATAGTGATATCTTAAATCTAAGCAATAAAAATAAAAAAATGTACAAAGTCTTAGTTGATTCAGCTTACGGCCCACCTGTTAAGTGTCTGCCGGAACTCAAGACATCAATAACTTAAATTTCGTCCCCCATCCTAAAACATGAGTTCTAAGTCTTAGTTTTATAAAGAAAAATAATTTATTCTTTTTTTTTTTTCATTGCCTTTGTAGGCAGACGAGCATACGGCCCACCTGATGGTGAGTGGTTACCGTCGCCCATGGACTTCAGCAATGCCAGGGGCAAACTAGCTACATTGATCCGTTGGTACGTAAAATCTCGAACAAGCAATCATTCAGTCCTTTTAACAGATAATTATACCGTTGCCCGGGTCATATTCTTTATCATGGTAAAAAGTATCCAATATTTATGTAGTCATTAACGTAGACTATGAACTATTTTAAATAAAAACAATTTTTTTTGTTGCTTACATGGTTGGACGAGCTCACAGCCCACCTGGTGTTAAGTGGTTACTGGAGCCCATAGACATCTACAACGTAAATGCGCCACCCACCTTGATTATAAGTTCTAAGGTCTCAGTATAGTTACAACAGCTGCCTTACCCTTCAAACCGAAACGCATCACTGCTTCACGGCAGAAATAGGCAGGGTGGTGGTACCTACCCGCACGGACTCACAAGAGGTCCTACCACCAGTAAAAAACAATATATACAAAAAAATATATAATATATACAAAAAAAACCCACAACTGTAATGTTCAGCAGTAGCACTAATAATACACATAACCAGACTGTTGATAACTAAATGAGATAGAAACGCAATATTTTGTAGCTTCAGTTATGTGTTGAAATGCGGACAAACGTTACACAAGTTGAGAATTAAAACATTTTTGGTTCCTGCCTTTGCAAATGCAAATGGTGTTTTTCAGATTCTTGTCAGATGTTAGAATTTGGTTTAAGCATATAAAATTGGTCTTTATCTCGGGTCACGGTGGCTGGTAAATGCTAACGAACCAGTTTTTCCGGTTCAAGTTTATTCATTAAGTAAAATGGGAATGAACTAAAATTCGTTTCATACACAATGAGTTTCGATCTGTTTGTTTTATTCAAATGAAAACTAAATGAAACTTCGTACTGGCCATTTGTCATTGGGTGGGTTCCGCCAGAGTTCCGGCTGCAAGCTGCTTTTATTAATATTTCCAGCGCGAATCTACGCTTTATTAGCAAACAGCCGTCATGTGGCTGATAAATTATTAATGTGGTATAAGCGCAGGCTGCGTTTTGTGACCCGTTTTTTAACTTTTAATGTGACAATGTCGTTCGAAGTGCATCGTGTTAGTTTGTTAACTTAATTATTGCCATTTAAATCGACATTGATTCGTTATTGAATTAATAATAATAATAATAAGCCCATTTTATTTCCAAAAACAAAGAAAAGAGAAAAAAGAACACCTTATCAAATAAAAAGTTACAAAATTAATTATAAACTTGTATTATTGTTATTGGAACCCCATTCGGGTATACTCCTCCTCTAGCTTACTCCACTCTTCCCTATCCTTGGCTTTGCTTATCCATTCCTTTCCAGTTGCTGCT